CGTCATACCTGCTCACATTACAACTATTTCTTTTCTAGAGATGAGCTTAAAAAGAACTACGGACGTAATTCCTGCTATTTATTGGTTTCTCTAAAGGATCTGGGCAATTTCGACAGTTCTCTTACTCAGGAACTTGTAAATCGGCCGACTGACTATATTCATGTTGTATGTCCATATGCTTAATCATTTTATTCAATTTACTCCCCATAATAATATTTATTTCTTAGTTTGAGGAAGCCGCCACTGAAGTCGTGGAGGATTTAACAAAATCAAGATCTGAGTCAGAGTCAATAATTGACACATGTCAAATTCTTATTGATTGGGAGGCGAATTCTGTAAGCCTGCGTGAAATTCGCTCGGAGCAAGTTTCCAAACTTATCAAGATGTCAGGAATAATTATTTCAGCCTCGGGGATCCGCGCCAAGGTATCCTCATTACTTACTTTTACTGCCTAAGGCTGTTAAATTAAGTCTCCAATGTCGCTCTTGTCGTCAATTTCTCCCAAACCTGCCTGTCAAGCCTGGTCTTGAGGGTTACACTCTTCCCAGAAACTGCCCTTCATCGCAAATGGGGGGCGCAGGTGCTCGCTGCCCTATTGATCCTTTCTTTATCGTGCCCGATAAATGCCTTTGTGTGGATTACCAAATACTTAAACTCCAAGAAACACCAGAAACTGTCCCTCATGGAGAGATGCCTCGTCATGTTCAGCTTTATTGTGACCGGTATTCCTTTATTTTACATATGCGTTTAGATATTTGTGTGAGCAAGTTGTTCCTGGCAACCGGGTAACTGTTGTTGGTGTTTACACCATCAAAAGTATTGCATCATTCAAGGTATTTTCTTTTTTAAAAGTATTAACCATTAGCAAAAATCGAGTGCTCAAGAACGTGCTAATGTTGGAGTCAGACAGCCTTATGTCCGTGTGTTAGGGCTTCTTATTGATACCGAAGGTCCTGGGCGTAGTGGCATCGTTGGTACGAGTGCTATAAGTAGCGAAACTGGAGCATTTAAGTCTGGAGCTAGTTCTTTCAATAAATCCACTTCAACGGGCGCTTCTAGGCTTACGGAAGTCGAGGAAGATGAATTGCGTAGCTTGGCAGCGTCGCCAGATGTTTTTGATCGAGTTGCGAATAGCATAGCTCCTTCAATTTACGGAAGCCTTGACATAAAGAAAGCGATTGCTTGTCTTCTTTTTGGTGGTTCAAGAAAGCGGTATGTACTTTGTTTGGCCTCCTCTGCCAACAAGTTAATCTCTTTCTTATTCTTTTCTATTCTAAGTCAATTGTACTCTAAGATGTATATGACATTTGAAATGGCTTATGCGACAAAACGATCAGTTTATACTTTTGATTAAAGCCAAGGTTTTGATAG